ATGGACCAGTGCAGTTTAGGTGCAGGTAGACATCAGAAATACCTACACAGCTCCAATTTTACCTGCACTAACCTGCATATACACAGTACATGGACCAGTGCAGGTTAGGTGCAGGTAGACATCAGAAATACCTGCACAGCTCCAATTTTACCTGCACTAACCTACATATACCCAGTACATGGACCAGTGCAGGTTAGGTGCAGGTAGACATCAGAAATACCTGCACAGCTCCAATTTTACCTGCACTAACCTGCATATACCCAGTACATGGCCCAGTGCAGGTTAGGTACAGGTAGACATCAGAAATACCTGCACTAAATGTGCACCCAGTACACGAATACTGTTTGACTAAGACAATGCCTGCTTCTCCCACAGGACATCCTGAAACAAGCGACAGAAGACGGGGTGAGCATGGCTAACGAGCTGCCGTACTTCGAGGGCGACTTCTGGCCCAACGTGCTGGAGGAGAGCATCAAGGAGATTGACCAGGAGGAGGAGGAGGAGAGACGAGCCCAGGAGGCAGCCGCTGCTATAGCACAGGAGTCCAATGGAGACCAGGTAGGGCCTGTTTCCCCACTTAGGCCACAGCAAGTAAATTTTATGGATGACATCCTCCAAAACTAATGTGAGCAGGCGGAAAAAAACAAGGCGGGCTGACAAAAACAAGGTTCCTACATTTTAAAATTTTGACTCAATCATTGTACAAATGGGTTTGATTCAGAGGGAACATCACATATACACAGCCAGCATCACATATCCCTGCATCAAAGTAAGAAACAAAACATTAAATCAGAGCCTTTTCTTATCTACTTTCTTCATAGTTTTGGCATCTTTGCCCATTTTTGCTCATCTTGTGAATTGTTTTAATTGTTTTCTCAATTCATTAAAGATATAATGGCAAACACTGCAATTCATTTATGTGTACATAAAGTTTAAACAACCAGGTCACCAGAGTTAAGTGTTAGTATTTTTCATTGTTTCCAGTTCATTGGCTTTGGTGCTCTGCAAGGCAATGGAGATAAGAAGAAGGGGAAGAAGAACAAAGGGAGCAAGAGCAAAAGTAAGAGCAGCTCCAACCGCAAGAACAACAAGAAATCCAACTTCCCCAACCAGGGAAACAACCTGTCTCAGAAGCTCTTCCAAACTATGGAGAAACACAAGGAGGTGAGTTGTCTTACATTCTAAGAATTTTTTGACAGAAAGAAACACCCTGGTAGGAAGGCAGTGTAGGGGGCTAAGTCATAGTCTACACTCAAGCTGTGCTAGCTGGAAAGCTTTAGCTTGTCCTAAGAGGATAAAACATCTTAGATAAAACTCGAAATAACTTGCAGTTTTGAATGAACTCCTTAAAAAATCAAGCTTGTTGATATGAACAACAGATACATGTATATGACAGTGTAGGAAGGTACAGTGCATCCTGAAGAGGATTGCAAAGTTAAGATTTATGGAGACTACATGAGCAAATGTCATTCATCTGAGATAGCTGTAGTAGAGGCAACATCGGCTTTGGTATCTGCAGAAAGCTTTCCTACACTGTAGGCATTTCTCAAAATTTGGATTATTGCAGGTAATAGGAGAGCAGGTAACACAAATTTTAAAGTTGAAATTGTTATAGTTACTTAAAAGTTTGAATGACCCTGCTGCGTTCTGTGCCTTGCTAATGTTGCTTCCCTTGTCCGTACAGGTCTTCTTTGTGATCAGGCTCATCGCAGCCAACATTGCGTCCAACCTGCCTTCGATATCGGACCCAGACGGGCTGATCCAGTGCGACCTCATGGACGGACGCGACGCCTTCCTGACCCTGGCGCGGGAGAAGCACTACGAGTTCTCCTCGCTGCGCCGGGCCAAGTTCTCGGCCATGGCCATGTTGTACGAGCTGCACAACCAGGGCCAGGACCGGTTTGTCTACACCTGTAACCACTGCAAACAACACGTGGAGACCAGATACCACTGCACCGTCTGTGAGGTGAGAATCAGCACGCTCTCACGTCCTACCATCTCTACTTCATTCTCTTACCAGTGTATTACTGGATGTATTTTATCTTCAATATGAGATCGTTTGGAAGTGTGTATTTAAAAAAGCATGACGTTAAGCCCCACCAAACTTCATGTAGTATGATGTGGTGCTGGCCACACTCAGTAATACGTTGTTTCTCTGATTTTTTACAGGAAAAGTTTGGAAAGGTAATGCCATTGTAGAAAAAGTGAAAATACCATTAGTTATGTGGCAAAAAATATCTTTATGTGGCAAGCTTCACATTAGCGAGACTTTAATAATTAGTGATGCAACTGTTGCTATTAAAGAAATTTTTAACAGCATGTTAAATAATAATTGGCAGTGAAAGTATATAGAATTTTGAGTAGAAAACTAAAACAGCATCAATAAGGTATAAAATGGTGTGAATATTACACTGCAAGTGAATCTGACAAATTCACAATTGGAATTTTTTAGTTTAATTACCCAAGTTTACAATCAATTGTGACAGTTATAAAGATAACTTCTATGCATGCAATAATGACTGATGTTTTTTTGTTTTGTTTCCTTGCAGGATTATGATTTGTGCATCGCGTGTTACGAGAAGCAAGGCCACCAGCACAAGATGGAGAAGTGGGGCCTGGGGCTGGATGATGGCGACTCGTCCCAGTCCAACCAGAGTCCACAGGAGGCGCGCCGGCTGTCCATCCAGCGATGCATCCAGTCGCTGGTCCACGCTTGTCAGTGCCGCGACGCCAACTGTCGTCTGCCCAGCTGCCAGAAGATGAAGCGCGTGGTGCAGCACACCAAGAGCTGCAAGAGAAAGACCAACGGCGGTTGCCCCATCTGCAAGCAGCTGATCGCCCTCTGTTGTTACCATGCCAAACATTGCCAGGAGCAGAAGTGTCCCGTTCCGTTCTGTCTCAACATCAAGCACAAGCTGCGGCAGCAGCAGCTGCAGCAGAGGTTACAGCAGGCGCAGATGCTGCGGCGGCGCATGGCGACCATGCAGAGCAGAGGGATGACGCCCAGTCAGCCGTCTCTGCCTCCTCCCAGCGCGCCTGCCACTATGCCAACTCAGCAGACGCTGCAGACACGCCCGCCGTCCCAGGGGAAACCTGGCAAGCCCACCCACCCTGGCAAGCCTGGCAGCATGGCCCCTCCCCCTGCAGCGCCGCCCGCAGCCATTCAGGCTGCAGAGGAGGCCAAGAGAGCAGCGGCGCTGGCTGCAGCACAGCAGGGCGGCTTCGGGCGAGGGATGCCTAACCAGGGCCAGCAGATGCCTCCCCCACAACTCAACATGCCCAACCTCCAGCAGCAAATGCAGCAACAGCAACAACAGCAGCAACAGCAGCAGCAGCAGCAGAGGCCAATGGCGCAGCAACAAATGGTGCAGCAGTCGATGCCTAACCAGCCTCCCATGCAGAGATGGCCAGTATTCCAGCAGCAGAGTCAGGCGGGTATGCAGCAGCAGCAACAGCAGCAAGGTATGCAGGGGATGATGCCGGGGCAACAGGTCAACCCTGCGGCATTACAGGTACAACAGGGCATTCGCAACCAGTTCCCCGCCCAGGCCCTGCAGCAGCTGGTCCAAACGCTGAAGTCTCCCAGCTCTCCGCAGCAGCAACAGCAGGTGCTCAGTATCCTCAAGTCCAACCCGCAGCTGATGGCAGCCTTCATCAAGCAGAGAACACAGCACCAGCAGATGCAGCAGCAGATGCAGCAACAGCAGCAGCAACAGCAGCAGCAGCCGGGACAGGCCCTCCAGCAGCAGCCCATGACACCGCAGCAGCAGCAGCAGTGGCAGCAGATGCGCATGAGACAGGTGGCACAGCAGCTGCAGAACCAGCAGCAGCAACAGCAGCAACAACAGCAGGCGCAGCAACAGCAGCAGCACCAGCAGTTCCAGCAGATGGTGCCGCCCTTCTCGCAGCAGTCTGCGC